GTATAACCTACTGGAAATATGGTCAGGACTATTCATTGCATTGATATTGTTCATCCTGAGTATTGATTCCATGCAAGCATATTGAGAAAACTCCCCAAAACGGTGCTGCTTAAGTGAAGATGAATCTCATGTGTGTGTCCATGTGTGTCTGTGTATGTGTCTGTGTGCATGTGTGTCTGTGTGTCAGTGTGTATGTCTGTAAATGTGTGTATGTGTGAGAGAGAGAGAGAGGAGAGAGAGAGGAGTGAGAAAGAGAGAAAGAGAGACAGAGACAGAGAGAGACAGAGAGAGAGAGACAGAGAGGAATTCCCTTAGGTGACAGAGGAGATGAAGGTCTAATGAAATCGCTAGCTCTTATTTTATCTTCTAAGAAAGTTTCACCTGAGTTCCCTATTTTTGAGCGAGTAGACATATCCATAACTTTTTTCAGATACTACTGAATACTAATTAAAAATAGTAAGAAAAGGAAAAGGAAGTGACTTTAAAGGCAAATCATTTTGACAATCTTCTTGAATGACCTAATGGAGTATTTGGGGCCGTAGTGAATATATCAGTCAGCCAGCAGTTTTTGATGGGTACTTCCAGCTGTTCTCCCAACATGCAAGACATTGGTGTAGGAAACACCAAGGGATGTAGCTGACATTGGGCCACTCATCTCTCAGGGCTCATGAACTACACAGGGAGGTGATACCAACATACCTGGAGCAAAATACCTAACAGAAAATAGAACTGAACGGCAATTTTAAATCATACTTCCGTATGTCAGTGCTATTCTAGAAACAGCACCAAGGTGGTCTTCTGCCAAAAATGAATAATGATGACGGCCTATTTTTTTCTCTTTTGGCCTACAAATCAATTAAAAAAAAAAAACCTTGTTATTAGAATTCTCTCAATTTTTTAGTCTAAATATCTTTCTTAAGCCCCTGGTGTTTGTTTACTATTTATAAGATGGCAAAAAGATATAAATCTATCTGGGCACCAGTGACTCATACCTATAATCCTAGCTACTCAGGAGGCAGAGATCAAGAGGATCTTGATTCAAGGCCAGGCTGAGCAAGTAGTTCATGAGACCCTATCTCAAAAATACCCATCACAAAACAGGACTGACAGAGTGGCTCAAGTGCCCTACTTTTGGTGTAAGGCTCTGAGTTTAAGCCCCAATGCCACCAAAAAAAAAAAAAAATATATATATATACACACATATAAATCTGTAGCAAACATATACAGAGAGAAAAATCATGAATTGCTGAGCATTTAATTTCATATCTTCTTATTTTCAAAAATGTATACTTCTGGTTGTAATGTTACATTTTTATATAGAAAAACAGTCATGTTTTCTTCTGGTAAAATTGTCCTGGTTTGTAGGATGAATTAAATATATCAGTATTTTACAGTGTCCCAACCAGATGGCTATAATATTCGGGTACCTTACTTCTAAAATAAATGTGAAACAACCAAGTATCTAAGCAAGTGTTAGAGTGAACGGCCACTTTTATTAATTTTTGTCTATTAATATCACAAAGTCCCATGGAGGCAGTGAGGCTGCCAGAACTGCAAACAAAAGCTCAGACAAGAAAGTTCATCCAGGAGTGCAGCACTGTTCAAAAAAATGTTTTCTTGCAGTATGTGATCTTGGAAATAAGTCCAGAGGGGCTAGTCCAATCAGGAAAATGCACAAGAACTGCAGAATCCCAACACTTATTTTAATGGCATCTGGTGGTAGTGGCATTAATTTTTGCAGCCATGTTTTCAAATAATCTTATTTTTTTCAAATTAATCTCACATTTATATTGTTTTAAAAACACTTTTTTTTTGGTGGTATTGGAAGTTGAACTCAGCCTTTACACTTGCCAGGCTGGCACTCCACCACTTGAGCTATGCTCCCAGCCCTTTTTACTATAGTTATTTTTTGCACAGGGTCTGTTTTATGCCCAGAGCTACCTGGACTACAAACCTCCCATTTATACTACCCAAGTAGCTGGGATCATAGATGTACACTACCATACCCAGTTTATTGGTTGAGATGGGGTCTTGCTAACTTTTTGCCTGGGCTCCTTTCTGTTTTTGCTTTCCAAGTAGCTGGGATTACAGGTGTGAGCCACCACACCTGGCCATATTTTTTTTAAATTTTAAACTAACAAAACATATAAAGAAGAAAATGACCCTGCTACTTTGGCCAACTACTACTCTATTAACATTTCCATATGCTTTATTCTGTCATTTATTAAAAGTTGTGATCATGCATAGAGAGACTTCAGATCCCTACACAGTGGCTGATAAGGCTTTGATTGAGACCCAAGTCACTTGGCACAGTGTCTATAGTATTATTACCTACCAGACTGGCTGGCAAGTTGCAGTATTTTAGATACTGCCTTTTGAAAAAACTGAGTAGCAATTTTAGCTCTTGTTAATGGGAGTAGGTACATACAAATGTTTGAGGTGCCTTGTAAGAGCATCTATAATAAAGTAGAAAAAGATCAAAAGTAGGCCCAGGAAATCTATAGGTAGACTAAAATAATACCAAAAGAAGGGTAAGTCATAGATATAAATACCACACAGGTCCACCTAGTTCCTCTAACAACCTATAAGTGTTGCATTTCCTGCTAGCCATGGCACAAAGAATAACAGGCGCACTTAAGACATTGTCCAGAAGGAACAAAGCTGTCTATGTTTTCATTGGGAGGGAGATTTCTGTATACTAACATTTAATAGCTAATTATCAATATAGTAATATTAGTAATTAGCAAAGTCATTTCACATATTTTCTTTAATTTACGCCCCAAAAAGCCCTATTATATAAGATTTGAGGGTAAAGCAATAATATATCTCTTACTTATGCATCTAGGAACCCTGGCTTACTGGGAACACAACAAAACAAAACAAAAAGCAGATTTCTAATAACCAACCAAAAGGCCCAAGTATATGCCTAGAAATGAGCCTCCCACCCAAGATCTATATCTCTTATTTAACCTTAAATTCTTACAGGGTTAGCTAACTTCCTTCTTGAAAGCACAGTGAACGGAAAGTAAGGGAATAGAAACTATTACAGAGAGGCACTCCAAAATCCAACCCCCCCCTCCCGCCAAAATGGGTAATGTAAGAAAGCAGAGGCAATAACTAAAAACAAAAGAGCAGCTAGGGTAGACACTGAGAACCCTAAACGCTGGCCAGCTAGGACATGCAGGAAGGAGCCATGGCTCCAGAGTTTCCCAGCCCAGACTCTGACGGTCCATTGAACCAGTCATCACATGACACCTTTCTGAAGGAACAGAAATGTGATCCAGTTGCCCACTCCCAACTCTTAAAATCAGTGCCTTTTGGCCATATAAGATAAAAAACCCTTATTCAAAACGACCCAGGTTCTTGCTGCTGTCTGCTTGGAGACCTCCTCTCACTTCGGCCCCACCTGCTTGGTCTTTTCACCTTTCCTTTCCTCTACCTGGAAGTGCCTCACTGCTCCCTTTCCTAGGCAACGGGAAATGTCATTTCCTTAGGAAGCTTTCCCCAGTTGTGGAGTCTAAATTGGGTTTCCCCAGGGCACCTTGCATTGGAACATACACAGTTACTCTTAATCTGATTGTTTAATAATATTACTTCTAGAGTATGATGAAGTCTGGTCGATCAAGAATTATATTTTCTCTGCGTGCTGAATAAACACCAAAAAAAAAAATGAATAAGTAATGTCACAGAGAAGAATGGTGTATAATATTTGCATTTTATTAAAAGATGTTTTTGGGGGAAGAAGCAGCTATTGTTTTCTTTATTGATGTAAAGAAATTCATTATGGAGTAGAATGCAAAATTCATATGCATTTTAAAAGCGAAACAAGACTTCAAGAACGCTTCAGGCTACACCCCCAGCTTTTTCTGGAGGCATTGTGCTTAAAATAATATGGAAACGCGGTGTGGCAAAAGATCCATCATCTCCAGGGGATTTGGATAACGAAGGTTTATCTTCCCGTTATAAGATGAGAATATATGTGTATGGAGAGGGTTTTGCAAATTAGACGCCTTCGTGCAAATATGACAGTATTATTATCATTAAGAAGTCTGCCCTGAAGAGGGGAACGATTTAGCTATTACTTCGCCAATTACAAGTGGGGCTGGCGCCAGTACCCAGGCCTCCTGGGGCCTCTGGCAGCCCATTGCTTTTCTTTAATGCACAAAATCTGCCACCTGGTCCCGCTGCAGAGGGTCCCCATCCTACCGAGCTAGGAGCCAGACTCTAGGGCGGGTGGCCTCTGCCATGCTCCAAGCCACTTTTAAGTTCCCATCAACCATAACCAAGAAGCAGGTGGGACATTCAAGCCGAGCGTTTCCCAGCAGGGGCACACTGAGGTTCTCTGCGCTCCAGGAGGGACCTCGCAGCTCCCCGCCTAGTGACACCAACTCCGCCCGCTTCTCCCGGCCCGAGCCCGCGCTCTCCCTCTTGCGGCGACAACATGCAAGTGCGGCGCGCTGGAGAGACCGCGACGGTCCTGCAGGAAGTGCCGGCGGCATTTAATCGACCTGGGAAGCGCGAAAACTGGGGATCCGCTGCTGGCAAGGTGGTCCCGCATCGGGGCCACGGCTGCTGGTTAGGAACCAGCGGTTCCCCGCCGAGGCTGCGGCCAAGGAGGGCGGAGGTCCCCGTGAGTCGCTTGGGGTGGGATGCAGCCCTGTTTCCCAGCGCCGGCGGGGTTCGCCGGTCTGATCCCCGAGGCTCCGGCCACCAGAGGCGCCGGCACCCCGCACGCCCACCCGCGCAAGAGCAGAGGCGCTGCGGCTGCTGAGGACACTGCCACCTCCGCCCCGGACTCGCGCGGCGCGCGCGCACGCGGGTGGGCGTGGGAGGCAGGGGCGCTACTAGCGTGCGGCGTGCGCGCGCGCTCCCCCTCCCCGCGCGCCCTCACTGGCAGGCCGGCCCCGGCGCGCGTCACCAGGGGCGAGCCAGCAAGCGAGCGAACCGGCCGGCGGGCGGGCGGGAGGGAGGGGACAAGGGGGTGGGGCCGCGGCACCGGAGGGGCCCGAGCGGCGGCTGCTGAGCCCGAGCCAGAGCTGGGCGAGGGCGGCTGCGGTCCTGGCGGCGACAGCAGCAGGAGAAGATGGTGGCGTTGGAGGTAGGAGCGGCTGGAGCGGAGCTTTATTCCCGAGCTTGGCAACATCGCTGTCATTAGCGCCGCCTGCTCCCGCGGGCGCGCGGACCCAGCTGTCAGGCAAGGTACCACTGGCAGGGAGGGGTGGGTGAGTGGGGGTGCCCGGCGCTGATGCCGCCCTGCACCGAGCCCTGATCCTCGTCGAAGGGCGCTCCTGGGCCCCAGAGACGTTGCGTGGAACAATAGTATGGATGAGCAGGGACAGCAGGGGGGACATCCAGGGGGCAAAGCCTTTAGCTAGGGAGGCGGGGGAAGGGTGTGCAGGGGAAGATGCCTGGTGTCCGGTGCGCGCCGAGACATCGGGCTTTGGAAGCACCGGGCGGGCCTGATGACAGTCATGGCAGGAGAGAGAGAGAGAGAGAGCGCGAGAGAGTGAATGTGTGTGTGTGTGTGTGTGTGTGTGTGTGTGTGTGTGTGTGTGTGTGTGTGTAAGGTACAGCAGAGTGGATGGGGGTGACGGACCCGAGGTGTTGGGAGATGACATTTCCAGGAATCCCCGCTAGGATCCCATCTCTCGGCCGACTCTCCAAGAGAAAGAATGTGGTGATGGGAACGGTGAGATGGGCAGGATGTACTTGGTGTGTGAAGTGGGGAGGCAGGCAGCGGGGTAGGCGCGGGTTTGTAAAATCCCTTGTAAGTGTGTGTACGCGTGTGATCGTATCCACGCTCCCCAAACTGTGCCCCCAGTCCAGAGATCTTCCCGGTGCCTGACTTGTCACCAGCTAACACTGTGGGACAGTGTTTGTTATTTTGACCCTGCAACTCTGAGTACTCTCTCTGTTCTGCTCCTGCGTGTGGGTGGCCGGGTATAGGGATTCTCGCTTCCCCTTTCTGTGGCCTCACGACCAGGGGATGTGGAAGTGAGCTTGTCGCTTTGAGACACATGGCAGGGAATTACACTTTATGGGACTGCTGGTGTCCTAGGTTTTGACACTTGCCGGCCCCTGTTCTGTAAGGATCCTGGGCTGCCTGACTCTGCAGTTTCTATTGTTTATCTCTGGTCTAACCTGAAGAGAAGGGTCTTAATGGTCACTCCCCACCCCCCTTCCCTACAACTTTGAATGCCAACTAGATCTTCCTCTCCATTTAAATACTGAATGAAACCTTATGACTGAAGGATGGGTAGTCTTTGTGTTGGTTCTTTTAGAATGCACTCGGGAAGTGATATATAGAGATAGATTTGGCGCGGGGCGGGGGGCCGTGGGGGGAAAGAGGGGAGCGGCGGGGGGGACGGACGGGTCTTTAAAAAGAAGAGAGGGAGGGGAGACAAAAAAAAGAAGAAAACGATCATACTGAAAAATTTTCGTGTCTGCTTGGTCACTCTCACACAGGGTGTTATCCTTAGGAAATGGGATACTTTATTGCTACTGCCGTTAACATTCAGTCTCCCAGCTTTCACAATAGCTAAGTGGTGCCATGTATCATTTTGAGAACTGAAATTTCTCAAGACTCATGGTGATGGGATCTCCAGTCAGTGAAGTCCGTTTTCCTATCTGATGTAGCCCACCAGTAGGGAATTTAGTGACTGTCAGGCTCCCAGGCTGTGCCTGGGAACCAGGACACAGAAAGGCATCCAGTCTTTAGCCAGCTGTTTAATTGTGTCTGCGTGATAAAGGTAGGCTTATGTAGGGGTGGGTATAGAGCAATAGGAGGGGAGGGTGGCACAGCCACATGGACGTCAGCTACAGTTTGACTCCGTGGTGTCTGTATTTCTCCTGCAGTGTTCAGAGGAATGAATGCACCTTTACGCTCAATCTCATAATACTTCTTTTGTAAAATGTTGTGTGACTAGATTAACCTGCTGAGGACACATTTTAGTCATAACACCTTCAATTCTACTGCATTGCTGTCAGAATCCAAACTGGCTGGCCACCCCTCCTTTGAAAAACCTATAGCAGTCACAGCTATACAAATAAAATGTATATAACTCATTGACACCAAAGGTTTCTTTTTCTTTATTTTTGGCAAAGATTATATGGTGTCATTACTATATTGAAAATAATAAAATTAGAGTTATCCACATGTGCTTTTTTTTCTTCTCATTTATCTTCTCTTAATTAATGAAGACATATAGACCAGCTACTCTGGAGGCCGTCAACATAAAGTAAATTTCCCTGTGTCCTTCACTCAAGCTTTCTAAAATTTTAATGTGAGGTTGTTGGATCTCATCCAAGATTTAAGGATAGATTTATAAAATGCATTTCGAATCTAAGTTTTTTACTCTATTATTGGTTCTGCCAAATCTCTTTCTGAGAAAAGTAATTATGGAATTTAAAAACCATTCTAAGAGGTTTTGGATTTTTTTTGTCATCATTATATTTGCAAGTAATACCAGAGATATAAATTTCTCATCAGAAAGTTAAAGGATATTAGGAATTACCAAGGTAAATAACCTGTTTAGAGAAAGGAATTATACAAGAGTACAAGTGCCGACTGGGGAATTACTCCTTTCTAATGTAAATGGATATTTTTAAAATGCAGTGCCTGACCTTTCAAACATTGGGCTGCTGAGGTTAATGATACAGTTTGGATCTGTAATTCAGTCTGGTAAACGGTTGTACCTTTTGCCGTAGCCTGCAGGAGCCATTTGTTTTGCATGGATGCCTTTTCTTCACTTAAGTAGCGTTAATGCTTTTCTTTTCAGTATTGGGCCTCTTGAAAAAAGTTTGGTTGTTTTTTTTTTTCAGAAGACTTGAAGGTGAAAGACTTGAAAAATGATGTGTAGGGCTCTATTGAGAGGATGGCCAGCAGTGAAAACAGACTTTCTTTTCAGTAAGATGGGGTGGTGAAGAAGGAGAGAGTGATATATCAAAGGAATGGCTGGGAGGGAAAGGAATGTGTTTAGTATAGGAAGACAGGGTTCTACTTTATAAGCTGAGTATAAAAATCCCCTGAGAGGACTAGTGATTGAAAATGGAAGGGGAGACAGAATTGAGTCTTGCAGAAGATGGGAGGATTCTGGGTGGAGGTATAACTCTTTTGAGACAGCAGCATAGTAATTTTGAGATGGAAAGAAAGGAATTTGGCCACAGTCTTTTAAGTAAAGTCAGAAAAGATGTAGGTAGGTTGAGGCTGGGAGCAGAATGAGGAAGACTTATATGAATTTTGGACTCCCTAGCAGGAAGCCCATTGAGTGAGTAAAAGAAACCCCACTATCAGGGCCTGATTTCAAGAGGATGAATTTGTGGAGAACTGATTAGCCCTATATGTTTGGGGCATGACAACCAGTATAACAGTACTGAGGTACTGTTAAAAATAGTGAACATTTACTGTTGCTAAATTCAGTGGTTCTTCCATCCCTTAAACTCAATGAAAAGAAAGTTTATCTTTAAAATTGTCTGAATAAAAGACTCTACCTGATAGATTTCCTACCTATCTGTGTTCTCTCTCGGGGATCTTATTTATACTTAAGTAAGTAAGGTTTATAATAAAATAATGGGAAGGAACATATGAATTTTCAAAACATGAGTTTTCCTATAAATAACAGCAAGATATGAATTTTATAGTAAAGTATAAAGTCAATTTTTCAAAAGAAAAATTAAATACAGTACCTCACCCAACACCACACCTATTATCAGTGCTCAATATGTGTTTTTCTCACATGAATAAATTAGCTAAGTATAGTATGAGAGTTCTGAAATTCCAGAATTTCTTTCTTTCTTTTTTCTTGGTGGGACGGGGATTTGAACTAAGGGCTTCACACCCACAAAGCAGATGCTCTACCCCTTTAGCCACACCTCCAGCCCAGGATTGCTTACTTATACATTGACATTGGATAAGTTGCATTCTATGACCTGTACAAGTTAATGATAATATAAAAGCTATTTGATTTATTTATACCCACTGCATTCATCGATACTTGAATAACAACAAAAATAAACAGAACATCTTTTTCCATAATAATTGTGTACCCTTTATACCCTCAGTTATGGAATTGTGTCATGATTCCAGTTAAGCTCGTGGATCTTTGCCTGTGGTGAGTGACAGTTTTGAGGTTCTAAAAATACATCAATAAGCAAATACAGAATATGTCAGGCAGCAAGTGCTATAAGAAGGATAAAAGAGAAAACAGTAGAGTGGGACAGTGTATGGGAGTGATGTTATTTTATAGAGGGTGGTTGGGAAGGCCTCACACAGCCATAGCTTAAGGACAAGAAGGAGTGAGCCGTGCAGATATTTGAGGGAAGGGCCTGAGGTAGGACCATGCTTGGAAGATCAAGAGACAGCAGGAAAGCATTCTTGGCTTCCTTGGATCACCTGCACGTGTGTGTACTCGTTACTTGTATGTTGCTATGACAAAAATACCTGAGAAAAACAACTGACAGGGAGGATCTGTTTATTTTAGCTTGCAGTTTCAGAGGGTTCAGTCAATGATTGCCTGAATCCCCTATGTTTGGGAAGAATATGATGGTGGGAACACATGACAAAGAGGCTGTCTGTCTCAGAGTAGGCAGAAAGCAGAGAGAAGGAATACAGGAAGGGTCCAAGACAAGATATAGCCCTCAAGGACACCCCAAGGGACCTACTGTCTCCAGCAAGGCCCCAACTCCAATTTTCTCCCTCCCAATAATACCATCATGCTTTGAATCCATCAAGGATTAGTCTATTCATTAAGTCAGATCCCTTAATTCTAATTTTCCCTAAAAAACGTTCTCACAGACACACCCACAAGTGTGCTTTACTAACCTCCTAAGCACTTCTCAGTCCAATCAAGTGGACAGCCAAGGTTGACTATCACACTGTGGCATCACACAGTCGTTCAGGGAATCTGATAAGATGTTTTGCTTTTAGGTATTGAGCCCATCACCACATATCATTTAGGCTGACTTGTGAGGCAATGTTGGGCTTAGGAAACAACGAATGTCCTCACCGAACATATTAACGATAGAAAACTTGAAGTGACTTTGTGGTTAATGATGAAATTCTTGTCCGTTGGAAGTAGTACCTCTCCTTGGAATTGCCATATTCTGTGGCCTAGATCTTCTTTAAATATAGGTTTCTCTTCTTCCTCCATGTGTCATGTCCCATTCTCAAGTGTAAGCGATAAGAATTGTTTTGTTCTTCTGGGTATACCCAACAACTCTAGAA